CAAAGTCTAGCTTATTTTTTCCTTTGGGTTATAATTATGTATCATCCTCATCTGATCACCAATTGTAAAGTTATGGCCTTCAAAAGTTTTTATGCATCTCCTTGATTATAAGTGCAGAAAATATAGTTATATGTAATTATTACTGCAGAAAATAATATTTTCAAAAATGCATAATTTCATAGATGCCCCACATAAGTAGATATAAGTGCATAAATATAGGTATTGAAAAAGAAAATTAAACCTAATAAAAGGGTTCAACTATGATGTCAGAAAGACACAATACTAGAAAACCTATAACCAATCAATTGACATAATAAAAGGGGTAACCAACCAGGTAGGGTTTTATCAAAATTCACATGGATTTTGATTGGTTAAAGCCTTTCCAACATCATGTCTTTCTGGCATCGTAGAGTTTTCCAAATAAAAAATATAATATAATTTGTAACCCATGACATGTTATCGAAGTCATGCAAGTCAACGGTTCAACAAAGGTTGATGGGTCTTTGGCCAAGTCAATGGTTTTTTACTAATTTTTTGGTTTGGAGTTAACCCAAGCCAATATTTTTATGGGTAATGGTTCAAATGGTTTGAATGCCTAGGTCAATGCTGACTTATTTACATAGATTATCCAATTGGTGAACCTGTTCAACCATAACCAGCAAGCATTCCAGTTTTATCTGGCCTAAATTTAACAATATTGTCATTATTTTTTGGGTCATTTACTAAAACATCCCCTGTGGTTTAATGGATTTACTAAAACCTATCCTATAATTTATATTTTACTAAAACACCTCTTATAGTTTGTAAATTTAATTGGCTTTCCATTAGATGGAAGTGGAAATTGATAGTTTTGATCTTAGTGTGTGCTTAAACAAATTTAAAATATTAATGGAAATGTCAATCTTGCCAATAGTAAAACAGGGTCAATAGCTCTTTTTGATTAATTTTATTCTCTATTTGAAGAATGAAGACACTTTGTTGCAAACTTAGAACCTGGGGATGTCATTGTTCTCTCATCTTCTTCATCATATTGAAACCAAACATTGTTTGATAAACTTGAAAACCAAACATTATTTCATTTTAGAAGCCTTAAGTGATAGGGGTAAGTTCAGAATAAAATACCATAAATCCATGCCCTTGAACATTTTCCACTCTATTTAGTGGTATGAACATTTTCCATTTAGTTTAGGTGGTCAAGTGGCCATTTTAAATGACTAGTAAGTGTGCATGTATTTGTATGTGGTAACGTTTGATGATGATGATAGTAAATAATGTGTTTCTAAAATTTTCTACATTTTTTTTATAATTAATCTTATTTGTCACACTTATTTTTTTTTAATATGATGAATATACGATATTATAGATGTGCCCAAATATTTTTTACATTTTTTGTATTTTTATGCTTTTGTGTGTTTTCATTTGTTAATTTTTACTATTAACTAATTATGGCATCAAGGGTTGACATATTTGACCCAAAAGATTGAATTGTTGATGCAACACTAAACAAGATAACAACTCCATTTTTTTATTAGTTTTGAATTTGTATTTTATTTCCCTCATCAATAAAAACAATTATTCTTTGTCACACTTGTTTTTCTTCAATATGGTTAGTTAGTATAAGATATTAGAGATATGTCCAAATGGTTTCTACATAATTTATATATTTTGCTGTGTTTTTATCTTTTTTAATTTTTATTATTTAATTATGACTTTAAGAGTTGACACATTTGACCTAAAAGGTTGAAGTTTTGATCTACCACCAATCACGAAAACAATTTCACTTTTGAGTTAGTTTTAAATTTTGTATTTTATTTCCATCATCAATAAAAAGTTAAAACAAATTCTTGTTATCGTGTTTAATTTTTAATATGATTAATATAAACTATTAAACATGTAGACAAATGTTTTCTATAGAGTTTCTACATTTTTTGTATATATATACATATATATTTTAATTTTTATTATTTAATTATGAGATCAAGAGTTAACACATATGACTAAAAAGGTTGAATTGTTGACCCACCACCAAGAAAAAAATTTCATTTTTTGGTCAGTTTTAAATTTTAAATTTTATTTCCAAGTTCAATAAAACAACTATTATTTATCATACTTATTTTTCTTTAATACTAGTAAATTTGGACGTGCTTTGCACGTGTCAATTTTAGATGATGAAGATAGTAATATATATTTAAATTATTTTAAAATTTGTATATATTTCTATTTATATAAAATAATTATATATTATAGATGTCCCAAAACAAATAGTGTGCATTTTTTGTTTTTGTCTTTCTTTAATTTTTATTATTTAATTATGACATCATGGCTTTACTCATTTGACCCAAGTGGTTGAATTGCTTATCCACCACTTAGACAAAAAGACAATTTCATTTTTTGGTTCAACTTTGAAAAAAAAAAGAGATTTATTGTTAAAAGTGTTGATATAGATCTAATAACAAAATTTATTAGTGAGAAAATATCTTAAATATGTCATTTAATGAGATAGAATATGCGTTGGCCCCTCAAATATATGACTTAATGAGAGGGATTTGAATGAGGTGAAAAATAATAGTTCAAAATACTTTTTTTTTGCCCTCACAATTAAAAAGGGACTAAATTCAAATTACATTTTTTACATTTGTTATATTTTCATATGCATAAAAAATAATTCTTATTTATGACACTTGTTTTTATTTAATATGATGAATATACAATATCAGAGATGTGCCCAAATGTTTTTCTTTTTTGCAAAATGCATGTATTTTTTTCAATTTTATTATTTTTTTAATTTTTATTGTTTAATTATGACATCAAATATTGGCACATCTGAATTAAAAGTTGAACTATTGATCTAGACCAAATAGGAAATCAATTTCATTTTTTGGTTGGCTTTAAAATTTGTGTTTCATTTCCATTATCAATATAAACAATTCTTGTTGATGACACTTATTTTTGTTTATTATGATTAATATAAAATATCAGAGAAATGGCCCACATGGATTCACCCAATTGACCCTAAATGGTCGAATTGGCTTAGCCATCACTTGAATGGAAGAATAGTTTCATTTTCTTTGTCTTGTTTTGGTTAATTTTAGAAAATGATAAATTGTTGAAACCTACCTTTTCTGGCTGTTGCTGAAATCTCCCTTGAAGTCTAGTAATTGCAATTGCTTCCCTTGAACTTTCTAATACAGCTGCAAGTAGACCCTCTCTCTCTTAAAATCCTCTAACAAGGGGCACACAAATGTCCAAAATACCCATGCAATTATCATTGAGGCTAGTTTTTGCATAGCATAATGCAAACTTTATGAACAACAAAAAAAAGAAAGTTTAAAATTGCAACTTTTTGAGGGATTCATATGAAGAGAAAATTTGTAAAATAAATCAATTTTGGAAAAGAGGTTGGAAGGGTTTGGGGTAGTAATTGATATGAAGGGAAAATTTAGAAAATAAACATTTTAATCAAGATAACAAAATGGTTATTTTGGACATTTTCATGCCTCTTGTTAGAGGATTATAAGAGAAGCGGTCTACTTGTAGTTGTGCTAAAAGTTCAAGGGAGATGATTGCAATTACCAAATTTAATGGGAAGTTTCAACAATGGTCAAAAACTTTAAGGGGGTTTTAGCATTTTGTCTTTTAAAAAACATGAGTTTCATATTGCTAAAAAGTATTTGAAAAAGATCTAATTATTAGAATTTATTAAATAAAAATACTTTAGATACAAAATTTAATGTGAGAGAATATGAATTAGTTCTTTAAATACAAGGCTTAATGAGAAGGGAATTAAATAAGGTGAAAATTTGTAAGGGGTATTACATTATTAGCCCTCAGAATTAAAGATCAACTAAATTCAAAAATAGGGGTAGTTTAGTAAAAAAAGAAAGTTCCACACCCTCATTGAGTTTAATAGTATAAATGAATATACTATACACAAAAAAGTATATAATATAATATAGGATCATTTACTAAAACACCCCTTATAGTTTGCAATCAATTTACTTAACCGGTCTTCCATTAGATGAAAGTAGAAAATGACAATGTTAACCCTAAAATCCATTAAAATAAATTTAACGAAAAGAAACTAAAAGCAAAAATACCATTTTTGCCCCTAGTAAAACATGGACAACCACTATATTATTCTCTATTTGATTAATAGAACTTAATGATGAGAAGAAGCAAAAATAACTTAAATATAAGATTCATTGAACATGAATGCAAGTTAATAAAATAAATATTAGGCTTATTGAGAGGGAATTGAATGCATTGAATATTATAAAATTACCTCTTTTCAACTTATTTAATACCAATAACCGATTACCCTATTTGCCCTCACTTTTTATCAATAAATTTAAATGTAGGAGGATAAATTTTGTCCTCAAAAAAATTCCAGAAATATTCTTGAGGCCATTCATGCTTTTTAAAATAGTATAGATGTTTGGTATCGATTACGTTTATTAAAAAATGGTGCCACTTTCTATAACTTATAATGTTGTTAGGTTCAAGCATTTTTTTGAAAAAAATAGTAAAAAGCACCCATGCCTTGTAAATCATGATACTTCTAATGCATGAAACACCAAATTTGGCATTTCATTTATGTATAAGCAAGCTATTGCTACCAACGGTTCTTTGACATGGCACCGATTTGTACAAATCAGAATGCATATACAAAAAAAAATGATAAAAATCACTTTACCAAACAGCAAAAGAGATGAAAAACATTTCTTACTGCCTACATGGTAAAACATAGACACAAACAGAATAATTATCCATCATCTTGAGTATAAACATTTTTTTTTCAATTGAACCTAAAAAACACTCACAATACTAAAGATCATCTTAATTAAACAAAAATTCTACACTCTGATTCATACTTTTAATAATAGTTTAGATTAGATAAATAGTTAAATAAGGTCGATTAAGTAAATCATTAACAAATTTTGTGGGGGAGTTGATAAAATGTAAACTATAGCAAAGGAGATATTTTGGTAAATGATGGAGGCAATTATTCAAGGCAACGAGAATGGTGGAAACGAACACCTCGACAAGAGTAAGCAGCAAGACAGCAATGATCTTAGAACACTGGAAAGTACAGTACTGGCCCAGCGAAAAAGAATTAGTTCGAGACGCGTCTTGGGTTAAGTAATTAGTACTCCCAGCGCAGCAATTGCCCAAATGCAGTGTATATCGTGAGTCGTGACGACGTCACCCTCCAGATTGCGGCGTGAATTCTTTCCAGAAACATACCCAAATTGTATTTCCTTATTATTTTTCTTATAATGCCTCCAATAAATTCCTGAAACGCCTCCTCCTCCGATTTTCTTCTCTCTCTCTCTCTCTCTCTCTCTGTAATTTATTCCTTCTGCTCGTCAGAGCTGTTGATAGGCGATAGGCGGTAGGCGGTAGGCATTTCTTGTTCCATCATTTTTTTTATGCTGTAAAATCTCTGGAAAGTTGTAGAATTGATGTATTTTATTTTTTTGGAACTTCATATATCATATTAGAAGCTCAGGTATTTGTTTTTTAGGGTTTTGCTTGCCGTGAATGTCAATGCTCTGTTGCTATTTTTTTATGTTTTGGAGGTTTTTTCTATAAAATTGGAACTGCCATTTGATTCATTGATTCGTTCGAAGTGGCAGTCCTTTCGACTCTGGGGGAAGTTCAGATCTTCGATTTTTAGGGCTTTGCATTTGCTTATTTGTCGAAGCTCTGATTGCAAGGAGAGCAATAGTTCTTCAACACTCTGACTTCCTTGAATCCGTTTTGTTATCTGAAACCCACATTTTTTATACAAGGCGTAAATGTCTAGTGTATAGGGTTTAAGAAGAACCCTTCGTTTTTTTTAGGGATTTTAGTTGGTCTGTGAGGAGAACGGCTCTCGGGTACTCTTTTTCTAGGGTTTACGTTGTGGTGGAGTAGGCATTTGTCTTTTGGGGGTTTATCATCTCTTGTTCTGCTCGATTGTTGTTATTCTGTTTCGAGATTCTTATACTTTGAGGGGTTTTGATCATGGAGAAGGATAAGCCTCCTTGCCATGGAGGAGGTTTGCCACCTCCCTCAGCTCGTTATTCTGCTTTTTCGTCGCCGGGGAATAATTTCACTGCGAAGTCTGAGCCTTCCTCTTCTCCAATGCCACCGCCAGCCCCGGTATCTACTCCAGAATCAAGTCATTTTGGTCATGGATTGTCGTCTGATACCAACCATTTTAGCCATGACATCAGTCGGATGCCAGATTTCCCTCCAAAGAATCTTGGTCATCGGCGGGCTCAGTCTGAGATCCTTAGTCTCCCAGACGATATCAGCTTTGATAGTGATCTTGGTGTTGTCGGTCCTGGAGACGGTCCTTCGCTGTCGGACGATACTGAGGAAGACCTCTTTTCCATGTACGTTGATATGGAGAAATTTAGTGCATCTTCGGCGACATCTGGGTTTCAAGCAGGTGAGAGGTCAACGGCTGCAGCAACTGCAACTCCTTCGGCTGAGAATTTAGTTGTTGGTGCTAATGAGAGGCCAAGGGTTAGGCATCAGCACAGCCAATCCATGGATGGGTCAACCTTGATCAAATCGGAGTTGCTTGTTTCAGGCACAGAAGGACCTTCTGCGGCAGAAACCAAGAAGGCCATGTCAGCGGCTAAGCTTGCTGATCTTGCCCTCATTGACCCAAAGCGTGCAAAGAGGTCGATTTCTCATTTTTTTACTCATTTTTGCACTTGATTATCTACAATGTTGAGATTTGTATATTTGCATATGCATAAATAAGGGCATGCATAACTTTTGCAATGTGTTCGTTGTAATTTTTTTTCTTATTGTTTTAGGTCTGTGGTGTTTTTGTGTAATCGTGTTAAGTTTTCTTACTCAATAGGTTCTATATATTTATTGATGGCACACTTAGAATCTCAAGTGATTTCTTTTATAAACATCATCTTTATCTATTGGTCCACTTGGCATCTCATATGTTTTTCTGCATATGAGATAAAAAAATATGTTTGGATTTCCTCAATGAAGATACCTACTTGGACACCGGAAACACTAGAATGGATGGCCTCCGATTTCTTGTGGCCCAAGACATGGACACTGGTAAAAGAAAGTCCAAATCTACAAAAGAAGAAACACATGTTCATGTTAATATCATGCTTTAGTTTCAGTTTTTTCAAAACCTATCTTATCCAATCATTTCATATTCATGTAACTTTTAATGTTTATGAAATTTCTTAATGGTAAATTTGTGAATCCATTATCAACTTCATAGAAAAAAAATTCCATTATCAACTGAGTAACTTGGTATTTCATGTATATGATATGAAAGCCTTATTCACATAGATTTTTTGGGATCTTTGCCTCGCAACAAAATCAGGGAAAACACTTCTTCCTATCTTATGTGCCTATTTATAAAAAAAAAAAGCTCTGAGTTCATGTAACACCATTTTCTTTTTCTATTCTTTTGTGATTTAATTTTAAACATATCCACACTGAAAATTGGTTAAAACAAGGCCATGATTTTACAGATGAAGTTAATGGAGTTGATACAGGAGACTGGGACATGAATATGAAGATTTAAATCTAAAACTGGTCATAGTAGAAAACTTGCAAATGATCTCAGACTTAGTAGATTGGGCAACATTCTTATGCCAAGTTTGCATTCATGATGATTGCAACCTTTTCTTAGTTCATTTATTGACTCATTGGAAGGTATTTTTAGCAAAATGTTTTGAATATTGAAGTCCATCATAAAAAAGCCTCTCTTAAGTAGGAAAACAAAGTACGGCCTGCTTAAATGGCATTGTTGGGTATTTCTAATTTCCCACCGTACAACCAATAGTTTGGTCTGCTTTAGTAGACTTTGTTCTCAATAGGCATTTGGAGGTAAAAAATGCTGCTTGCAAAATATAGCTTTCTCAATGCTTCTCAAATGCACCTTTTGGGCTCTCTCTCTCTCTCTCCACCCTGCAATAAAAAGCACACAAATTGGATATGTCTGGGCATTTAAAACTTCTTTTTAAGTCAGTTGAAACTGCATATTAGACTTAGCAAAATACCAACCTATTGCCTTATTTGAAATTCTAAGTTCTGACAAGATATTGAATTTACACATTGACATTATTTTTAGATCACATCTATAATTTTGACTGGAAGGAGTAAATTTCTAACGAATAGGGTCATATACTTCCTGCAAATGATGATTTTGGGGCACCATATTTGAATAAAATATATTGAAGGTAAAGTGGAAAACCGTAATTTATTGAGCCATCCCTTCCCATGTACAAGGCAGAAGGACATTGTCCAGATTGTGATTCCTAAATATTCTTTTTTTAGTCTGAGAGCTCTGTAGTTTCTATTATCTTACAAGGAAATTTGTGTAGCATTGTTTATGCTCCCTCTTGTTGGAATTTCCTTGGATAAGAATAGAATAACTGGAGTGCTTTTCTTTCTCCCTGATATTGATTACCATCACCCATTATTATTTTTTTTTACGATTGTCTGTCCTATTTTATGAAACAGAATCTGGGCAAATAGGCAGTCAGCTGCAAGGTCAAAGGAGAGGAAAATGAGGTACATAGCAGAACTAGAACGGAAAGTGCAGACCCTCCAAACAGAAGCAACCACACTTTCTGCTCAGTTGACCATGTTGCAGGTATTCTGTTACTATTTTATCTCTCAATTTTCCTTTCTTTCGATAGGAATCAAAACTTGGCATGACGGTTTAGAATGTTACCAATTCTTAAACTCCAGTGCCATTTCTCTAGATGTTTTGATCTTGTATCCCTTGCTTATGTACATTATGAAATCCTGAATAAACACAGTTTATTTCATTTCCTCAGTTTTTGTTTCTGACTATCATTTCTTATTGCCTTCTCATGGGTAGAGAGATACAAATGGTCTGACTGCTGAAAACAATGAGCTGAAACTCCGTCTGCAAACAATGGAGCAACAGGTTCACCTTCAAGATGGTAAATGTTCAATCTGATTTTGTTGTTTGATGCCTAATATGTCTTTCATTAAATCATTGTACTTCTAAATTCATAAATGGTGTTTCTTAGTATGATTTCATACTCATAGGTAATTGTGTTACTGACAATGGCCCTCTCGAGCTCATTGTTCTAGAACATCAAACTAGTTGCATACTTTGTGTCGCAGATGGTATAAAAAAGACATAATCCTAATCTATAATCAATTGACTTGTTGCTTCATCATTTTATATGACAAGGACGTTGGTAAAATGTTAGTGCTAATCCTATAAAAAAATGTTAGTACTAATTTACTCCTTCCAGATACAATCCTCTACCATTGATGTTTGAACTTGCTCTAAAGTTCTGGGCATGTTTACCAGATCATTGTCTACAATTGGCAGTTGGCACAAAGCTCCTACATAGGTCTTTGAATTATTTTAACAAAAATGCCATCTTTATTTATGACATGTTTACTTTTTGTTAGAAAATCACTTTTTCTGTTTCAAAGTTTTATATGTTTATCTTGGCTGCATCTTTTTCAGATGAAAGAGATAACTTGTTAGGAACCAAAATTTAACATGTTGGTTGTGCCTCTTGGCATTGTCAATCAAACAGTATAATATTATGTTACAGATGGTGATTTTTTATGCTATATTGCTATTTACACTCCAGTTTTTAAAGAGAAGACATATACACACAAAGTATGAGTGGTGCACATCTACTGTATTTTAAGATGTCTATTTATGATGTATTATCAGTCAATAAAATAAGAAAAATAATGGTACATGAATCTGTGTACATAAGGATATTGCTTTGTTGCAGCCCTATGTATTACTTATTTTATCAGAAAAATGAGTTCTTTTGTTAATGATTGAAAAAGTTACATGGTTTTGCTTCACAGTAGCCCAAAAACAACAGAAAACAGCTTGACCACCCTAATTTTTGCCATCCCCCCTTTTTACTATCATAGATTACAACATTGCCCAAAATAAAGTGGACCTGTCCACTTCCTGTTTTGCTAGGACATCTGCCAGCCCATTTTCTGTTCTTTTTATACCCATCCAAAGCTAGTGTTGCAACTATTTGCTAGGAAGTCAATTTCTCTGAAGGCAAATCTATATTTCAAAGGGGCTGAATTGATTTGTTTCACCCAAGAAATAACCAATAAGGAGTCTCCTACTTCGAGCTCTCTAACACCTAGCTGTGTTGCTAGTTTTTAGTCCTTCTAAGAGTGCCATTATCTCAGCCTTAACTGAATCTCCAAGTCCAATTGTCCCAGAAAATAAGGCCACTACTACTCGATGGTTTTTTGAGACTCCCCCTATACCCGTCCTCCCAGATTGCCAAAGGAGGTCCCATCAAAAATTAGTTTCAATTTATTTGGCCTTGGAAGTTTCCATTCCATTATCACTACTTTGTGTGTATCTATTTGTGCCACTTTAGTCCATTTCCATAACAAGTCATTTGTAGAGACATCTCTGAAAAGTTCCATTGTTTTAGCCCAATGTGCAGATCTGATCCTTATCTTATGGATTCAATCACTTCCTCCACTGATATACTCTTTTCATGGAAGATTCTTTGGTTTCTCTCTCTTCCCAAATGGTCTATACCAGGGTTGCTCTTGTTATTCTCCATAGACTCTTCCCCTTTTCTTTTGTTGCCTCAAGAAGCTAGAGTTGAAGAGGCTAACCACATCCTGTGGGGGTACCCATCTGCAACCAAAAAGAGAGCAGTAGTCCCAAATACAAGTCACAAAGGAACAACTGAACAAGAGAGTAGTAAATGAGGAAGGGTCTCGCCATTGACCTTGCAAAGGAGACACACATGAGGAGAAGGGTAATTATTTGGCTTTCTTTTCTGTAGCATGTCATAGGTGTTAATTGTCATGAGGAAGCTTTCCCAACATAGAGCTTGCACTTCAGGAGGGATTGGTTTGCACCAAATTTCACTCACTGGGAGATTTATCCCTGTGGGTTCTGAGCTAATAAGAAGGTTAAAGAAGGAAGCACAAGAGAAGTGACCATTAGGGGAGGGGTACCAAACTCTACAATTCAAAAGATTTTGTTCCAAGAAAACCTTTTCCAAGAGAGAAAGTAGGAGGATAAGGGATTCACATTCATTGTCCCTCAATCCCCTTCTGAATCCAAAATCCTAGTTTAAACCAAGTGTTGAAGGCTTGCCAAATCTAGACACCGGTTCATTCTTGACGTTTGTTAATGAGTATGGTGTTGGGAATTGTAGTTTGAGTGGAAAATCCCCAAGTCAGAGCTCTTCCCAAAATAAGACTCTATTCCCACATCCGACATCAAGACATAGAATTGAGAAAGGTAGATAGTACCTCAGAGATTGCCTTCCAAGGGGAAATTGAAGTAGTGTGAGGCGGCAGTTTTGCATCCCAGCCATTTTCTGCTACACCATTAATGCTTTCAATGATCCTGTGCCACAACCTGTTCCTCTAAGTGAAATCTCCACAACCACTTTCCTAAAAGAGCTTGTTCCTCTTAATTAGGTTTCCAATTCCCAAGCCTTCTTGCTCCTTAGGTTTACACACCTGTTCCCGCTTCACCAAATCTTTCTTTTCATCTTCTGGCTCTTACAAAAAATCCCTCATCATTTTTTTTTCTAGCTACTTTGCAATTTTCAGCCCTACGTATTAATTGGGAAGGGAAAAAAGGTTACTTTTGGTTCAGGATTAGTTTGCATGCTTTTGTAGTTTATTTTGTCTTGAATTCTTTTAGTATAAATTTATTTTATATTTTAACAATCAATAAGTACTACTTTGACGATGATGAATATAATCATGTATGTCAACTCTATTTTGTGTTTTTTGTAGATGCTTAGCTGTACCAAATCTAGATGAGTACTCTTAAATTTTAAGTTTTTGTGGATTCTGCTCATATTGTTGTCATTGTAAAGTGACACTAATTAAGTAATATGAGGTGCATACTCTTCAAACACTGTGAAGCTTCATATTGAGGTTGAGCTCTCCAAGGCATGCCATGGATAAAATAATTCAAAATAACTTAGTGTTTAAGTGAGGTGACCCTCCATGGGCTCCTTGTTGCATAGGTGTCACCTTGAGTCCTTGACAACAATGGATGCAATCACTTGTTCCTTTCTTGTTTATGGAACCATTTTCTCCTTTTTTTGGAGCTTCCTGGTCTCCCTTCAGCAACAAGGAAGAAGAGGTACATATCCTCATTGATTTAATTGCGTAGGAGTCGCCCATTGATTTTTTTACCTGAGTATTTAAAAGGGGTTTCTATGGATTCTATCTTTCTGGCAGTGGTCGGTTACAAACCAGCTTTGCTCCCCAAGATTGCATCTAATTTCTAAGAAGATTATTGAAATTGGGGAAGTTGTTAAGTCTCTAGGGGTTTCATAAGATGCTTTTAAGAACTTCCCCAAAACTTTACCAATTTCAATAATTTTTTCAGGAACCAAACACAAATCAAAGGAGGGTGTTTTGGACTCTTGGCTTTGGATTGCTTAGGCAATTGGTTGTCAAATTTAACTTCAAAGGATTTTCTTTGGGCAACCTTGGATCTTCAGGTATTAGTGTTTTTTTATTCTTTTTCTTTTCCAGATAATGAAGGACTTATTCCATTAAGTTTCCCAGTTTAAGTGGGAGAAGACAATTCCCAGAGGATTGAACTGTGAGATCTGCTACAGGATTAAAACTGGCCTATTTCTTAGGTGGCATGGTTTGGTTGTGGAAGATGAATGCCAATGTGATTGTCATGATGTCTTAAGCATTTGAGGGCGTGTGGTCCCTTGGATTCTTGACTGATCGTTGAACTTGTTCATCTGAATCCCTTGATCAATTAATGGTATAGAAGACTCATTTGGTAAAAATGAGGTTGAGTTTTATCAGGATTGTTGGATGCAAGACATCCCAAAGGTTTCAGGCCAATTAGTTTGGTGACGAGTATTTACAAAATTCTGGCTTAAGGTTTTGTCCTTGAGGCTAAAAACAGTGTAACCCCAATTAATAAATCAAGCCCAAGGGTCATTTGTGCAAGGAAGACAAATAACTGGTCAAATTTTAATAGCCAATGAATGCGTGGAGGAAATGTGGAGGTCTGGCCAGCAAGGGGTGGTTTGTAAATGGGATCTAGAGAAAGCTTATGATTTAGTGGATTGAAGTTTCTTGTTAGAGATTCTTAGGAGCTATGGCTTTGGTGATAGGTGGTGTAAGTGGGTGAAGGGTTGCATCAGCTCTTGTCATTTTTCAGTGTTGGTAAATGGTGTGGTGAAGGATTTCTTTTCTGCTACTAGAGGACTAAGGCAAGGTGACCCCCTTTCCCCCTTTCTGTTTACTCTTGTAGCAGATGTTTTCAGTAGGCTACTCTCTAAGGCTGATAGGGAGGTGGCAATAAAAGGTTGGAGGATAGGTAGGAATAATGTCCTAGTTACCCATCTCCAATTTGCAGATGATATCATCATTTTCAATGAAGGGGACAACCTACAGAGAGTGAGGAATCTAAAGAGTTTGATAAATTACTTTGAAAGTGTCTCTAACCTAAAAATAAACCTGGATAAGAGCTATGTAGTGGGAATAAATTTGGATGAAAGGGGTCATTGAGCCCGTTGCTGAGTGCTTAAATTGCCAAGTGGATTCTTGGTCGTTGTCTTGTCTTGGGCTCCCTTTAGGTGCTAACCCGAAGGAAAGCAGATTTTGGATTCCAATCCTAGAGAGGTTTGAAAAAAGATTAGTTACTTGGAAAAAGAACTATATCTCTCTAGGAGGTAGAGTAACATTGTTAAGAGTCACTCTAGCTAACTTCTCGGTTTATTATCTCTATGTTTTTAGAATCCCCTCTAGGGAGGCAAAGAAATTGGAGAAGCTAATGAGGAATTTCCTATGGGAGCCAGGGGAAGAGAAGAAGGATCACTTAATAAGGTGGGACATAGTGTGTAGAATGAAGAACGTGGATTGGGGACAAGAACTTTGGTATTGAAGAATACAACTTTGTTAGGTAAGTGACTGTAGAGATGGC